GGGATGGTACTGACAAGCAGCAATATTAGCATGGATATCATGATTCCAGTTTTACTTCAAGGGAGGTTTAATTTACTCTTGCGGTAGGATGCTAAATATGTAACCTATTTGAATCTTCGAAAGTAGGTTTTGTTTTTTTCATGCAATCTGGTTCCCCCGTGAAACGGCTAAAGCTTATAGTTCCCGCAGGATTTTTGGCCTAGAGGCCAGAAACCCGCGGATGCCTAATAGAAGTCCAACACCAAAAAAATATATTTTTCTGTTCACGTGAAATGTACATCCATCGCCATCACCTTTTCAATGATTATGAAAAAAGAAAAGGTAGATATATTTCGTATATATTTTCAAATTGCAACGTTTTTAAAAAGTGTGTTTATATATATGTATATATACACCGTTATACACCGTTTATTCACCCTTTTCTATCTCCATTAAAAAGATGTATACAGATTAGATTATAAGGACAATTTTTCAAAAGGAAAGTGCAAACTGTGAGCTACGAGGAAAGTAATTTCTAAGTAAAATATCGGTGCTTATTTTTACACCAAATCGAGGCTATTGTGTTTACATAATGAACATATTGTGCATCGTCTTATTGGTCAATTCAGTTTCCAAGTTGGTACTTTATCAGGTTACAGGGCCTGCATGTAACTAGTTATGTCATAAAAGCGATAGAACGCATTTCTTCCACGTTCCATAACCCACTCTTTGACGTGATAAAGCCACCTGGGATGTCAGGGGTACACGAGGAAAGCTTCTTTCATTACTCTTTTCTCCATTACACAATTCTACTTACATTCAAGTTTACTTCATTCTGTATAACGTTGGTTAATGTCTTAGGCTCTTACACTTAGAGTATTACTGGATGCTTCTCATTGATTTTTACTAATAAACGCCCCCTTCATCTACTGAATTCTTTCTCTACACTTCTGGACACTGTCTACATTATTCTCAACTCTCCCCCTACTTTCCAACAACTTTCTCTGCTTTCCCTGCTCTCTCTCGCTCTTTCACTACGTAATTAAGCCCTAACGAACGTACTTTTATCTTCACTATTGGTAGATATGGGCGGGCATACCAGCTGGCTGATCTTGACGGAATAAACATTTGTTGTTAGAACACTAAACTAAACAATTTCATGAGACGTTCGACATGTACAACAAAGTAATTAATCATGCGCTAAAGCTTCCGATCAAGTGGATCAACTCCCCACTGCGTTAACCAAAACAAGAACTTTCGCGTGGGTCCAAATCAAGCTCAACAGACAGGCTACGTACGTCCACCTATGGAAGTTAGGCAAGACTATCAGAGTTCAAAAGCTCATCGCTTCAGCTCAAACCTAAATAACTTCGGAATTTGAATTTATACAACAACTACATCCTAAATATAAACGAATGACTAAATCTTAATGAGCTGACTAACTGACTAACTAATTATGAACTAACTAAATTAATACCCCATAACAGAACTGCTCAAAAAAATTTTTGTATATTATAAGTGCACCTAATTCATTGATTCTAACGTGTCTTTCATCTTAATTTGAAAGGTCGGCACACAGGTATACACTAATAGGAGTTAAATTCATATCTAAAATTCTTATCATATCGCATAAGACTTTTGAGAAATTACTCGCATCTACACCTACATTCGCAGCAATTGGTACCTGAGGCACGGAATCTGTGAAAGTAACTCCCAGGTACTAGTCTCCCTGGATCTTCTCGGCAGTGTAAATGAACACTTTTTTGTCCTAAGAATTCTAATTTGTTCGAAAAGCCTTATGGCTGAAATAGGGCTAAGACCATAACTCACATGTAACTGAGGGAAATTCCTAATTTCTTCAACCCAAATTGGAAGAACCGTGACATTCAACAAGTCTGTTCTCGTGAGGTGTTATCTGTTGTTAAATAATAGCCCCTCTCTAGAAGAAATTTTCCAGAGCTCGCTTTTCGGGGAAAATTGAAACATTGTACCCTAAGCGTGTTTAGAGTACGTGTGATGGGCTCAATAAAACACTCCGAAACATTCAAAACGAACGTTTGGCTGCTGAAAAGGACTGAAGTTTTCACGCCTACAGTTCCGAGCAACCTAACGAATCTGAAACAACTGAACAATGCTATTGTTCTACGATAAAAAGTGGTATGTAAAAATCACTCTCACAATGAGAAAACGCCCAATTTATTGTAACACTAAGTTTACTTATATCGTGCATATCATTTTCCACACAAAAAAATAGGTAAAGTTAGACGAACTTAGGTAATTATCTGAACTACGCACGCATTTTTATTGGTTCTTACTCATGATATATTAGACGACAGGTACATAGATGATGTCAACATTAAGACATTTTTGCTGCTTTTATAATAGATCAAAGAAGACGTGAAAATGTGGTTAGAAAATCAGTGACACACAGGGCTGCAAATTTTGTTCTCGCCGCGATATTGACTGCAGTCTACATGTTAGGTAGAACACAAGAATTACATATTTGGTTCCAAAGTGAAGTTACGATTTAAAATTCAGATCATTGAGTGAGCAATTTTCCTCAAGTTTATGCAATGGAAACAGTATATTGCTCGAAATCTTCACTTAGGCACTTGATTTACAATGCAAAAGTAGCGTTTTATAATCGTTATCACGGAGTCTACTATGATTTTAGTTGCTACGCAAGTATTTTACAGAAATTACATCTTGGGAAACAAATCGAATGACATATACAATTCCTAATAGACTGGATTAAAATGTATGGACCGATTCGGATGAAAACAAATTTTGTTGGACCCTTGGATAGCGCGTGTTATGATTCTTCTCGCTCAAACCCTTATTGTCTGTACTAGGTACTTAAGGTGGCTCGTACCAGTTTCCTCGCGCGGGGAACAGGCCACTCTTGCGTGACGCGCGCGAGAGAAACGTGCGAAAGAAGCGCGAGATCAAAAGATGAAAATTCAAAACAAAGATGGCGGCGCGTGGAATTTTTTCTACTTTTGTGAGAAGTTTACCTAAGAGCTTGTATTTGATGTGTTGAGCGGCTACTGTGAATGCAGGAGATAGAAACTAAGATAAAGAAGACGATTTTTGGAGAAGTAAAGGTTGCTTCACTTCACATTTAAAAGAAATATTCAACCGATATGAAATCTTGCGACGGCGAAAAAAGAAGAACTCAAGTGAAGGATAATCTACCTGAAGTGGAAGAAGACTTTGAAACTTAAAGGAAAATAATATGATATAGCCAGAAGTCGTGTGTAGGATTTTTAAGATGAGCCCGGGAGGCTATCTTTGACAGCTGTTTAATGATTTTCTTAATTAGCAGTAAACGTCTGTAAACATCAGATCGTAGG